AGGAGAGAGAGAGAGAGAGAGAGAGAGAGAGAGAGAGAGAGAGAGAGAGAGAGAGAGAGAGAGAGAGAATAGGAATCGGAGAGAGAGAGGGAACAAGGACGGCGGATCAGGACAAACAGGGGAAAGCAGATACATCAGGACCCGAAAACCGTATGTTGTATAGAGGAATACTAATCTTACGAAATGGTTGAGTTTAGGGCAGAACGTCAGAAGAGAATGGAAGAATTCACCGTAACTTCAGAACCCGGAGATGGGGTGCCCCGTACACGCATCGTCGCAGTCTTCGAGGAGAACGCATGGTAACCATGCTAAAAACAGATAGCACGAGAAAGCTCCCTGAGTCAGAGCTCACGTTCGGTAGTAATGGCGAAGGCGCAGGCCGTGAGCAACCCGGAAGGTACCATACACCGCGCATGTCAGAGCACGCCTTCCTTTGGAGGGAGAGGTGGGAACCTGACGTTTCCGCGAGAATAAATACCAATCTGCCGGCGCGGGAGTCGGCTAATGCTGCCGTCAAAACCCATCGAACGTGCGCAGCGGGGATACTGTTTCCTGCCTTTTCTTCAGAGACGGTTGAACCTGATACAGTCCCTAAGCATTTCAAAATACACCCTGAGGTACCCTCAGCAAGCCTCAGATACAGGAGTCCGAAGGAAGCACCGGGAAGGAAAAAACGACGCTCCCATGGCAAGGGCGGGAGGCAAAAAAAGAAAGAAAACCCACTTTTCAAAAGTACACCCTGACATGCCCTCAACAAGCCTCAAATGCGGAAAAAATGGAGACCCACTGCTCCCAGTCACAGTTGTGGGAGTCAGAGAAGCCCCTTAGAGTCCGAAGGAACCATCGGGTAGAGAAATGTTTGAGACAAAGCTCCCTTTGCAGTCCAGCATCCCCGGTAAGTAAGTCCGGGCGTCGAAGGCTCCATCTATTGGTGGGGAGCTACACCTGCTGGGAATCGGGTCCAGCGTCCCTGTACAATGATGTGAATGTATCTGCTGGAAATTGGGTCCAGCGTCCCTGTACAATGGTATGAATGCATCTGCTGGAAATCAGGTCCTTTTTTTTTTTTTTTTTTTTTTGAAAGACATGCTCCAATCTATTCGTGGGGAGCAGCACGTGCTGGGAATCGGGCCCAGTGTCCCATATGGAGACATGTAAAAACAATTCATGAACAAATTGAGGTACCGAGGCCATTACCCGGTTTCGGCTTGAGGGTATCCTCCAAGATCATGAAACAAAACACCTCTTGAAATCCACGGCAATTCTCCGAACACTCAAGTATCTAAGGGATTTCCAATAGATCATAACAAAGCTCACCAAAGCTGACTTGTTCTCTCAGATCCAGCATCCCTATGAAGAAATGTGTTGATATTTCCAACTACCTATATATGCACGTCAAACGATATATGGCAGACGATGGGAGACCCTATCCATCTGATCTACAGTATCTCCAGAACAAACTGAGGCATCGAGCTCAACACTGATGTGATGTGTGTCAGCTGGAAATCGGGTCCAGCATCCATGATGCCGATGATGATCACTGATGCACGGACACCACTGTCTGCCGCGCTGCTTCCGTAGTCGTCGCTGCCGCCGTCGTCGTTGTTGTTGTTTTTGTCGCCATCGTCATCATTATTGTTGTTGTTGTTGTCAATCCCCACCACGTCCGCTTGCGGCATCTCCCCCATCATGCCGATGATGATCACAGCTGCACGGACACCGCTGTCTGCCCCGCTGCTTCCGTAGCCGTCGCTGCCGTCGTCGTCGTCGTCGTTGTTGTTGTTGTTGTTGTTGCCGTCGTTATCATTATTGGTGTTGTTGTTGTCGCGCTCATTTTTGTCAATATCCTTGATGCCAATGTTATTGATGTTGTTGTCGTTGTTGTTGTTCTTGCTATTGTTGGTGTCGTCGCCGCAATTCTCTTCGTCGGCCTCCAAACCTCCCTCCAACCAGTCGTCCTTGTCGCCCTTGTCGCCCATCTCACCCATTCTCTGCCGAGTCTCTAGCTGATTGCGTAGATCGTGCCCCAATGTAAAGAGGGTTTTGCAAGCACCCATCCTATCATCCGCCCGCCTCCAGTCGATCTAGGCCTCAAGTCGGGGATCCGGCCCCTCCTCCAGCTCCCACATGATGTCTAGCATCTATCTTCCAACCACTGATCCATAGAGATCGCCCCCCCATCGATCTCCACCCCCTCCTGCCGCCGCAGCATGAGCACCCCCACTATCGTCTGCAGCTGCTTGCATCCCTCCTCCAGTGTGATAAGCCAATCCTCCGCTCGATTTGTAGCTCCCCCACCGAATCCATCTCTCGCCCAAATAACTGTGCCACTCACACGGTTCTTCTGAATGACTTGTAATCCCACGGCTGGCGCAACCCCTGCTCACGTGTCACGGGACGTCCACGTCTCCAAACAACAGGCGCCACGTGGCAACAAACCACTCGCACCTATCGGGCACGTGCACAGGCCCAGCTGCCGGGGAGCTGTCCTCCCCAGGCGCTAGTCGAGCCGGGGCAACCAGGCCCTACCGGTCTGCCGGTGTCAGGGCGCTAGCGCTAGCGCAGCCATCCCCCACCTGTACATCTCCGTTCTCGAGATAGATGGAGATCCATTCAGGAAAGTGCAAGGTTTTCCTCCTCTCATCAGCCAGAGTGACCGAAGAAGCTGAGAGGCAGCTAGAGAAATTCAAGACCGGCAGACAGCCCTGCTTCTGCATAAGGATAAAGGTTGTTTTAAACTTTAAAGCAGGAGCTGGGCTAACACATCATGATGTATGTCGTTGTAAATTTTACACGGGACACTGAACCCGTTTTCCAGCAGGTGCAGCTCCTCGCCAATAGAAGCCAGCCTCACTATGGGGATGACATCGAGGAGTGCTCCTACCACCCCGGAAAAGCAGCTGTCGAACTCGAGGGTTCATAAAAAAATTAATTACTAAATGGGGCAAGTTGGGGGCAACTATGCGGCGGTCACGAAAAAAGTTTGTAAATGCATTCCAAACACAGGTTTAGCACTTCAGTCACGGCCCAAGTTTGACATGCACTTGAGTCACGGTCCAGTTATGGTTGGCAGTTCAGACACCCTTGGCAGTTTCAGTTACCGGTCCTGTCCAGTTGCAGCCCGAGTTTCATCAGTCGAAATTGCGCCGCGAATGGACTGCTAATTGAAACTCACAACCATGACTAAATATTAAATTCCAACCCAAATTTCCAAACCGTGACTGAGCTGTCAATCCTAACTTCGACTGCATTTCAAACTTCACACCTGACTGGACTGCAAAAACCGTGTTCTGTCCTTCGGGACATCCATTAAAATTGGAATGATACAGAGAAGATTAGCATGGCCCCTGCGCAAGGATGACACGCGTAAATGGAGGAAAAAAAAAAAAAAAAAAAAGAGTGTTCCGAAGGCATTTGGATACTCTAACCCAGGCCGCACTAGTATAGTAGTACAGTTTTCTCAAAAAAAGGGACAACTATGTGGCGGTCACAAAAGAAGTTTGTAAATGCATTCCAAACACAGGTTTAGCACTCAAAAAAATATTGGGATGAAGTTCAATGAACAAGAGGGAGAAAGAAAAAAAAAAAACACAACAGGCCTAGCTCAGTTGGTACACCCATGAACTGTTGAATTACAGACCTAAGTTCAAATCTAGTCATAATCAGATGAACATACATAGCCTGTCTTTTGCTGTTTGGCTGAAGCCAATCCATTCACATTCAGGGAATGTAAAGTCCAAAATCTGTATGATGTCGGAGCAATTTCCATTCTTTATCTTTGTTATATAATAATGCATCCACTATCCTTTTTTTGGGGTGGGGGTGGGGGGGGGGGGGGGGACTATGTGGGAGTCACAAAAATGAGGTATAATTGCACTATGGGTCAAGATACACTTTGCAATTGCACTTTGGGCAATGTATACAACCCAGCTTTCTGGCCATGTAGGGTGCCCGAACTGCAATTGCAGACTGTATCTTGCCCCATAGTGCAATTATAACTGTTTTTTGTGACTGTACTGAAGTTACCCCGTTTTTCTTTTTTCGAAAGGGAAGACACCCGAGGCAGTGCTAGGGGTGCTGATAAGAGCAGGCACCACTCGCATTCGCGGGACGGCTCCATCTATTGGTGGGGGGAAGCACCTGCTGGAAATCGGGTCCAGCATCCCCATTGTTATTACAGTTGAATGTTTGTACAGACATTTAGCGAAATCGCAGCGGGCTGCAGATCTTTTCTACAGTACGACATGCTCGACATGCAAACCCATTCTGGAGCCCAAAGCCGTTGCCTACATGACCAGGAACCAGAAGTGATAGTATCCACTGGACCTGTGGCTGCTGCTGTCCCTTATGAATATGCCCCAGTCTCTGCAGGCAAACACACCTTTCGTTTCTCCAACCCTTTTGTTGTGCAGATAGTAACATGGCCATTGCAGGCGAAGTCAGGCTTGGCGTGCTCTGTGCTCTCCAGAACCCATCCCGGACGGGACTATGCGGTCTCCCGGCTTTTGGATGTTGGGGGGCGTGATGCGCATTCTGAGAACTTTGTGTCTGCCACCCTGCTGCCGTCCGCCATCGGCCCTGTCCCTCTGCGATTGCTGATTCCGGTGCCGGGTGTGTATAAGGGCATTATCGAGTTATTACTTCTGCTGCATGGCCCCTGCCTGAGCTCGCTTGTTGATCCTGGCATGGTGCAGCTTCTCTCCAATCAGGCACCGGTATGTGTATCGGGGGGGGGGGGGGAAGGGAAGAGGGAGGGAGGGGCCGGGAAAGGGGGGGGCTGCTGCCTGATCCGCGATCAACACAGAGTTGGTTTGGAGGTATAGGACTTGAAAGTCTCCCAAGGGTCTCCTTTGCCAGTTGGGTTCTGCTTTTTGCCACGCTTTTCAGCGTATGGTAATCCCACCCCCCAGTTCGGAGAAGGTTCGTTTGGGGTCCTGCCAGATCTGGAGATAGGATTCTCGAAGGGCTTGTCTGGCCGTGGGGTCTTATTCCTGCAGGTAGTCCCATTTCATTGCCTTCCAGGCTTCGTGAGTACGAGACCTAATCTCTTCTTCTATCGCCTGTTGCGCTTGCTGCAGTCCAAACTGGTGGTCCTTTCTCTGGAAGGAACATCTAGCTCTCCAGGCCAGCATGAGCAATTGCAGCCTCATATAGGCGAAGAGGTTAGTGGCAAACGGGGACCATTGTGTCGTCAGGTGCTGGTTTTCACCAAGCAGGAGGAGGCCCAGGTCCCAGGTCTCGAGCAGTAGGAGGCCCAGGCCCAGATATGGATGCCAGCCAGGGCATGAAACGCCACGTCTCACCATCTCTATATCTAGGTAACCATCGGGCAGGCCAGCAGGCCGTGTTCCAGTGTTGCCCTGGGTGGCTGCGCGGTTCTACCGCAGTAGGTGCAGATGGGAGACAGCAAACCTTTCTGTTCGAGGTCTGGTTTTTATACGAGCCAGTCAGGGGTGGGGAGGCAGCGATGCAAGATTTGCCATTGCAACGACCTGAGGTTTGTGGGCATAATTTTGGAATATCTGGCCCAGGACAGGTTCTACAACAGGCATGTGTATCCACAGGTGAATCTCGCTCCCATCTCTGCGGCAATGTGCGGTTGATAGGCAGGTCCTGGCGGGACGTTCCATAGCCCCTCTGACTGTGTAGTCCCACATCTGCATGGGCTTTTGGCCAGACCATTCCCACTCATCCAGGTCAAATGGTAGCCTGGCAGCCTGGCTACTGGTGATGTGGGCTTGTATACGTAATAGCCATTGTCCGGATCACCTACAACCCTTATGGTCATCAGGCCTCCCCACCCTTCGGTAATATCTAGCTCCTCTTTTCTTGTTAGTTTAGAAAAACGGGCACCCAGCAGGCTGGGCTCATAGGCTTCCAGTGCACATTGTCCTCTCTTGTTCTTACGCACTCTGTAGATGGTGGGCGGGAGAGGGAGGTCAGCATATCTAGTCACCCAGTCCTGCTGTTGTATCGAGAGGGCAGTAAGCCAGGCCAGGGGTATAGCCTCGCTCAGCTGGCAGAGTTTTTCTTCCACTTGTTTTACATGCTTTAGTTTGGTCTGCAGTTGGTGTGGTGGGCCCCAGTTGTTTGCTCTTGGATCCCATAGATCCTCCGCAGTATAAACCCCCTTCTTTGCCCAAATCAACTAGGGCGAGTTGGCAGTGAGCACAAAGGGGTTGCCTATAGGGTCAAGGATGTGGGGGTTGCCAAAGAGTGGTTGTCTCCGCACCGTATGCAATCTGTTCGGTGGTTGTTTTTGATTGGGGCCCCGTTTCCCTCAAAGTTTCATCATGTAGGGCCCCAAGGGATCCTTTGGGATGTCTTGTCTGACAGCTTGCACTGGGGTAGCGGCATGTGCATGCTGGCATGCGCCCGGGATCGTCCGGTGGCTGTTGGTCAGCCATTGGAGCACGCGTTTGTCGACTGCGGAGCCAAATCAGCTATGCAGGCCTGAGGCCCCCATAGGATATCGTTCCCTAACGGCAGCGAACAATACCTTGAAAATCAAGGCTTCGCTTTCTCTTCCTGGGTCAAGTATCCCAAGTGGCTCTTGGTTGGGTGAGAACATCCCAACTTACTCTACTCATGTAGCCTTGGGGGTTTGCTTTGTTCTTCCACAAGGCCACAAGGGATCCTTTGGGATGTCTTGTCTGACAGATAGTGTCGGGGTAAACAAATGTGCTTGCTGGCGGCGCCTGCGGTGCGAGGTCGGGGGTGGGGTCGAAGGGGGGGGGCCGTGGGTGGCGGGGTTGGGGCAGGAGCGGGGGTGGACGAGCGGGGGTGGATGGGCGGGGGCGGGGGTCAGGGATCCTCATGTCGGGGGTCCGGGGGTCAAACCCCCACCCCGGCTTCGCCCCTCATGATCCCCGGGTGAAAACATTGGTCCCCGCCTCGTCTCAATAGATCAGACCGACTCCCTCCTCCTATCTCCATCCACACTCCCCAGGCCCCCCTTCCTGAAACCATCGCACTGTCCTTGACCCTACCCTCGCCCTCCAGCTACCCCCGCCTCCACATGAGTCAAACCCCGACCAGTCTAACTGGGAAGAACCTGAGTAAAGAGCAA